ATTAAAAATTAAAACAAAATAATTTTAAAAATAAAATAAAAATTAGAGTTGTTAGGTGATAAATAGTATAAGATGGAATGAATAGAAAAAAGATAAGGTTGAAAAGAGAAGAGGAAGACAGTGAAAATAAATAATGGTAAGGAGAGAGGGAGGGACCCACTGCTTTAGGGCCCGGCAGCCACCAAACACAACAGAAGCCCTCATTTTTGGCTTCCCACTCCTTTTTTTATGGATAATAGTTCCTCTCTCTATTAAAGTAATACATATAATACATAATCTAATATTCATTATATTTCTAAAAAATAATCTTAAATTCTTTTTTATTTATACAAACTTTTTAATTATCAAATAAAAATATTAAATATGGTTTTATATTTTTAATATCATAAATAAGTAAAAAACCATTAATAAAATTTGTAAAATATATAATAAATTTTTAGTTAATTATTCTTTTATTGAATAAGAATTAGAGTATTATTTTCTCTTAAAAGATTAAACTAATACGTTTTGTGTAGATTATGTGAATCTTACTGGTGTACATAAAATATATTCTAACGTTAAAAGCTGATGAATGGCTTTGGAAGGTGCCAGGTAGTGTGTAATCATTTCTACACGTTGACACTGACAATAATGTACCATTAATCTATTCTACGAAATTACTTCGAAACAACCACTTTTTCATAATTTTTTGTTTTTTTTATCTATTCAATTTAACCATTTGATTTATTTATATCTTTATCTTAAAATGTTCAATACGTTTTAAAATTAAATTAAATAAATTATTAGTTCAGCACAAAATAAAACTAGTTTAATGGTTTAAAAATAGAATAAAAGAAGCATTGATAATTGAAAATGGAGTGGGATATGCGTACTTTCTTAATTTGGTCTTTCACCCATTTCCTCTATTTTCTTGAAATTTCTTCACTGTGTTTCAGGCTGAAAATAAAACTATAATATTATTAGTTCAATGAAAATGACCAATCATACTTACCAATTATATATATATATATATATATATATAAACACTATTTATTAAAATCTGGACCATATTGGCCAATGGCTTTTGCTCTTTGTCTTTTATTTTATAATTATTTAAAATAAATTTAGCATTGTTTAATAACTTCTGATATTCAATTATGCATTTTATTAATTCAAAGCAGTTTTTTTTTCTTTTGGTACATAATTTAAAGTAGTGTGAATTAAAACATAGTAACTTGTTTTAACTAAGTAGGTGAAACTATCAGACAAGTATTAATTTTTAACGTACTGGTAGAGATTTTTTTTATTAAAAGATTTAACTCCTTTAAAATTAGGAGATGTATAAAATAAAAGAGTGAATTTTTATTTATTGTTCATTTAGACTTGGACATTTTTTTACATAAATCACTTTTAGATTAAAAGGTAAATAAATATTCACTTTTTCACTTTAAACATTCCTTTATTTTAGAATAATCAAATTCTAAAAATAGTTCATTATTTTATAAAATGTGTTTCTTTTAATTATTAGAATAATATCTTATATTTTTTTAATTAATTTTATTATATAAACTTAGTTTCATGTAACAAAAAAAATCATTACATAAATATTTAACTTAATTATTTAAGTACTTAATTATACCCTAAGAAAGGAAATAACATTTTTTTTTAAATTATAAACCTCCTTTATTTTTTGTATTTATCTTGGTAATCATAAATAATTAAGCAGATGATTCTACAATAGCATGCACTGATAAATATAGATTAATTCTGCCGTATTTTAAGTGTTGTATAAAATAATCAATAACATTTATATTAAGAAATCTGAATATTTGTAATTATTTTAACGTGCATTTTTTATTTAAATATGTTTTTCTTTATCAACTATAGTTCTCATGTGTGTTAAAATATTCAAAACACGAATTAACTAAATTAATATTAATGTCTAATTATTGATCCCACTCTTTAGGATCCAAGTACTATTATATGTAATTGCATAATTAATTAGTGCAATATGACATTTTTATTGAAGATTACGAGCGTGTTAGGCACTGTCCATACCCTACATCTGTAGGTAAATACCGTATATGCTGCAAGTCAATTACAATAAGATTTATTATTATTAAGGTTAATTATATCTTTAATTCTCATATTTTTAATGTGTCATTTTATATTATTTGTCAAATAAGAAATTATAATGTAGAATTTATAAAGTTAAAGATTAAAATAACCATTGCTCTATAATTTTAAAGGCTAAAATTAATATACTTTTTTCAAAATTTTACACTGAGGTCACACTCATTAACTTCAGAGTACGACATAAGAATATCTTTGCTTGGAAACCTTTTGAGTGTTCTGGAAGTAATAATTAAGTAAATAAAAAAAAATAGTATACTATTGATATATTTAAAAATCAACAATTTTTTTTTGTTAGATATTTCTAATCACCTATAAAGATAAGTGTAGAATATTTAATTATTTTAAGTTTAATAAATAGTTTAATAAAAATCATAATTTTTTTTATGGGGTGTCTATAACAAAGGGATGAGAATAAATTAAGTTATTCGTCAGGACTCTCTGACTTTTCTAACATTATGTTTAAGTCAAATCAATTTTATTATACACACAAATTAAACCAATTTATTGTTATTATTCATTTTAATAGCCTGTATATAAACTCATTTGTTAATAAAGATAGATTTATAGGTTTATATTAAAAACTTATTCTAAAATAAATTTGTAAATAAAATTTTATATGAAATAAACAAATTTAAATTTAAATTTTAAAAAATAAGCTAAGCCTTAACCCTAGTCTATAAATACCCCTAACATTATAGAAAATTCTTATGTGTTTTCTAGAAATTAGAAAAATATTTTCCTTTATGGCACTAACCAGTCAGCCTAGATTACATTTGTTTTGTTTGACATAATTGATGCTTTGCGACAAAATCAACAACATTTTGAAGAATAAATGTCTAAATTAAGACTTATATGAATAATTTTATGTGATAAGACTTATTATCATAAGAAATAAAAATAATAAATAATGATTATGAATGCATAGTATTGATAAACAACTATATAATTATAAATGAATTATATTGTATGCTTTAAATTTATAATTTTTACACTTTAAAATAAAATTTATTCTGATTAAACATATGGCACATAAACATTCAAGGTGATTCTAGAAATGAAATGAAAAAAGAAAAAGTTTTGGAATGTCCCTAAATTAAATCACATGTGCGTTATATTTAATGATTTTGCTCTTGACCTATTTTGTTTCTTCAATCTGAAGATGATTGGCAAGTGGGGCTCTTGGAATTAAGAAGACGAACCTCTTTGCCAAAGCACATGGTGGCAGATATATCCACACGAATGGGGATGAATGTATATGCAACCAACACAAACCTCATTTCAACATTATTTATCAGTTAAATTCAGTATTTGCGGCTATTAATTAACAACTTGTTTAATTTCATGAGGTTCCATTAATTTTCCATCATATCCATACAAATATTTTCAAGTTTTTCCCAATGGGACAAAGAATGGGGAGAGTAATAGTGAAGTAAAAGAATTCACTCCAATGAGACAACGGAGGCAACTCCTTCATTTTCAAGTTTGAACATTTTTCTCGACAAATACGTATCAACATTCATGTAAATAATGCATAAAATACAAAAGTAATCTCTGGTACTTACAATAATGGCATTAATTGGGGTTTCGACTTTCCATCCACTTAGTTCATACTGAACGTACTAAATGCCAATAAGAAATTAAAATGTCATTGACTAACACAGAAAATTGTAAACATTAAGATTATTTTCGTTGATATATATTTCTTTACTATATAAATTATAAATTTAATATACTAATAGTATGTATTAATTTTACATGATATATCATAGTTTTGATTAATATACAATTAACATATGTTTTTTTTGTTTCCTTCGAGTCATCCATAATTTTATGAGTAAAAATTGTTGAATATTTTTCCTTGCCATGATATATTGCTAATAAATAAGTGAGTGACATTGACATGCAATACCATGGTTTCCTCATTAATTTTTTGCCCCAGTTTTTGTTGCCTCTATCTATGGTCTTAAATTCAAGGCAAAATGAAGGTCATTGCGGCACTGTATGTATAATGGGGCATTTCAACAATCTTGACAATGTTAAGAAACTCACCTAGAAGAGACAATGTTGCCAAATTTAACTCGCAACTGTGAAGGTGATGCTCCCATTTTACCAAAAAGCAAAGCATCTTGGGCAGAAAAAATTATGACCCCCATTGACTAGAATGCCCTTGAGGGTGACTTCACATCTCATTATCGCCTTTATAAAAGCTGCTTCGTTTGAAATTAATTAGAGTTCCTGCACAGTTACATGTATGGGTACTATGGTCTATAAAAGATACATATCTGCCCCCTCTCCCTCTAACTTTCAAGCCTCCGTCATATCAATTAAGGATCAAAAATATTAAATAGCCATAATTTAAATTTGGATGAGTTGGCACTGTGAAGAATTCGGACAGATAAATGACATTCCTAACTTTAACTCATGCAACACCCATCATTCAGTCTTCATAAACTGTGACAAATTAAATGCCATCAATATATTTTTAATTATCAACTGAAATTATAATAATACATAAAATCATGTAAATTTCTCTCTTTATTTTCACCATAAAAATAGTTTTTTTTTTTAGTTTGAATTGCAAATTTTTTTTATGAAAAGAACTTTTATTCAAACTTAGAATATGTATAACATGATAATATTAGATTTTTTTCAACTAAAACTTTTTTTTACACACAAAATATAATTAAAGAGAATGAAGCATTTCTATCAAATAAATTTCAGTTATGTCGTATATATTCTTCAACAAACTATATATATAACCGAAATTGTATGAAATAATTCTAATAGTGTAATTATATAACATGGATTATAGTGAGTGATACTGATGTTACAGAGAGAGTGATAGAATAGGAAGCTTACGTGTGTATTGGGGGGCTTGGCCTGTATTTATGCATGCAAAGCAAAAAAATTTACTGTGTGAGGAAATTATGAGGGTTTTGTTTCCTTGTGGGGATATTTCTTTTTCTCTTCTGGAGCCCATTGAGGTGCTTGTGGGATCAAGTTTCGAGCTTTGTGATTGGGTCTCACACACTCTCTTTTTGAAAGTTTATTAAGAAGAAGAAGAAGAGGGCTATTACAGACAATCCCTTGTGAAGATGAGGGTTGGAAGAAAGCAAGAGAGGAACCCAGAGAGAGAAAAGAAAGAAAGAAAGCTGATGGAAAAAAGCTGAAAGTTTAAAAGCAAGTTAAAAGAAAGCTGAGGAAACCGAAAGGAACAAAGAAAGAAAGAAAAAAGACCTTTTATTTTTTCTCTCTTCTTCTATCTATGTCCTCCTTCTCCTCCTAGCTAGGCCTTGTCTAGCTGTTTCATCTCTCTCTCTCTCTCTCTCTCTCTCTCTCTCTCTCTCTCTTCTCTCCAATGATCTCTTTTCTCTCTTCCATTTTACTTGATTCTCTATCACAAAGATAGCCACGCACACAAACATAGGCAGTGGTTGCTTCTCTTCTTTGGCTATATCACCATACAATAGCATATAACACATCATCAAAGTACCATGTTAGCCAATAACTTATCTCCATCTTCAGTTCCCACTTCTGAGCCTTTTCCCTGCGCTGAAAATGGCACTGCCACCAATAAAAGGAAGAGAAGGCCTGCTGGAACACCAGGTGCACAATTATCATCAAATTTTGCATCCAATTTTATTAATAATCAAATTCAAACATGGTTTTATTTTTTATTATTTTTCCCTAGCTCTCTTATGAATAATATGGTTAATTTTGTGAATAAATATTATTAATTGTTGTTACATTTAATTTAATATGTTGATGTAGTTGATTATTCTAATTGATTATTATTTGTTGTTGGCAGATCCAGATGCAGAGGTGGTGTCTCTCTCTCCAAAGACTTTGTTGGAATCAGATCGTTATGTGTGTGAGATCTGCAACCAGGGGTTTCAGAGGGACCAAAACCTTCAGATGCATAGGAGGAGGCACAAGGTGCCATGGAAGCTATTGAAGAGGGAAACACCAGTGGTGAGAAAGAGAGTGTTTGTGTGTCCTGAACCTACTTGCTTGCACCATGATCCATGTCATGCTTTGGGTGATCTTGTTGGGATAAAGAAGCATTTCAGGAGGAAACATAGCAATCATAAACAATGGGTTTGTGAGAGATGCTCCAAAGGCTATGCAGTGCAGTCTGATTACAAAGCACATCTCAAAACATGTGGCACCCGAGGCCACTCATGTGATTGTGGACGAGTTTTCTCAAGGTTTGATTAATTTAATTTATTTTAATTTAATTTCTTTTCTTCTATTTTCATCTTCATGTATTATTATTATTAACACATATATCTCAACATTTTTTTTTTCATATTGTTTTCTATGGTTCTTGATTCACAAAATGGTTTTGGAATTTGATAATTAATATGTAAAAGAGAAGATGGATCTATATATTAAAATTTGGGCTGTTGGGGTGATGGGATTTTGATTACTTTTTCTCCTCCCCATCTCATGTGCTACAAGATTCTTTCTTCTTTTTTTTCACCATTTTCGAATCTCATGATTATATATCAAGTGAGCAATTAAAACTTGCAAGCCTTCTGTTTTACATGGGATTTGACTTAAGAAAAGGGAAATATATTTTTTGGAATGGAATATAAAGCAAACAATAGGGGGTGGAAAACTAAAAGGAGATAATTAAAAAAAAAATTCAAATATTTGACTGATGGAACCTTAATCCAAATTTTTTTTTTTTTCACAAGCACTGTTCATTGACAGTTGGGGTAACACGATTTCCAAAGCTCCGTTTTCCGTTGGTCGCATATATAACTGTTTTATGTTGGCATCAAAATCCTCCTATTTGCATTCCAACACATTGAAACTTCTTTGTGTTTTGTGTGATCATTCACTCCATTGACATTTCATTTCTTCGATGAGCACACTACATCATCATAAATCTTAAAAATGGCATGAATTCTTGACTTTCTTTTGTCCTTTATTTAGTGGAAACTGGAACCTCTTCCCCCACCATTTTGAATAACCAGTGGATACCTTTTTCAACCACCTTTTATATCCACTTTTTCTTTGTCTCCTTTTCTTTCTTCCTTTGCATATTTTTTCCTCCAACTCTATATATAATGCTCTTCCTCACCCCCACAAACAAGAATAATGAACAAAACAACCCTTTTGAGTTGTTCAATACTAAAAACACTAATCAATGGTTATTCTTTCTCATCTTCCTCATAGGGTTGAGAGTTTCATTGAGCACCAAGATGCTTGCAACATGGGAAGGCTCAGGCCTGAAACTCAACCTCTACAACCAGCTGCATGCTTGTCAAGAACAGCTTCAAGTCCAAGTCCTTCAAGTGAAACCAATTTCAGCACAGCTCCATGGCCAACAAGAATGATAATACCAAAGCCAACGACAGATCAACACCCTACAATCTTCATGAATAACCCTACTCCTCTCACCACTGCTGAAACCTCATCCAAGAACAACAAACTCCACCCAAACTTGGAGCTTCAACTCTCCACCACCAACAACAACAACAACCCCAACACCACCAACACATCAAACTCAAACCCTATTGAGGCTGCAATATCCACATCACTATCACCTAAGAGAGATCATCATGAGAACCATTCAACCCATTTGCAACTCTCAATCGGGTCATCGGATATGAGTGAGAAAAATGAATCAAACAGGAACTCATCAGAAAAAAGCAGCAACAGCAATGGTGAGAAGCAATCCATGGCTTTGTTGAGGGTTCAAGAGCAAGCAAGGGAACACTTGAGGATAGCCATGGCAGAGAAAGCATATGCGGAGGAAGCAAGGAAACAAGCAAAGAGACAGATTGAACTTGCGGAGCAAGAGTTCACAAACGCTAAGAGGATAAGACAACAAGCACAATCGGAACTTGACAAAGCCTACGCCTTGAAAGAACATGCAATGAAGCAAATCAACTCCACCATGCTCCAAATCACTTGCCACGCTTGCAAACAACACTTCCAAGCTCGAAATGCAACCCCGGACGAGAATTCTTTGGTGTTGAGCTACGTGTCTTCTGCTATAACCACTGAAGGAGGAGAAGTAGAAAACGATAATGGAAAAGATCATGGCAAAAACAACAACTAACTCTACTTATTAGAGAGAGATAATCATCATCGTCACCATCATCAACATTATCTTATTCTCTCTCTCTTTGTCTCTCTACAGTTTATTCTGTATTTTAATTTTCTAAGTCCTCCTTTATGGGTTATCACTTGATACCCTTTTTTTTAATTCAACGCTAATATCTTTGTGAATTGGTATACCAAGTGAAGTGGAGGCGAGTGATGTTGATTATGTAAGTGGGGTTAATTAATTAATAGCGCACGGGGTGGAGAAATTAAAGAGTGTAATTCTTCGTGTAGCTTGCAGTTTATTGTGCCATGTTATTTGTTAATTAAATTTCGTATAAATGCAGACTATGATAAAAGGGTTTCGCTGGTTTATATGATAATATAAATTTTGATTCTCCTGTGTGCATCAAGATCTTCCATTAAATTTTGATTCTTCAATTTTATTTTTCTTCTGGCTATGCTATTACACTATCGTCAGTGGTGTAATGATGGCTTGTGCGCGTGTATGTATATATTATAATCATTATATATATATACACTCATTGCATATACATATATAGATTGTGTGTGTGTGTATATATATATATATACGTAGTGATTATTATAAAATAAATGTAGGTTTTGTTGCTTGCTGCATTGCAATGAATAAGGGGTCAGAGAAAACACTGAAAATTTCCCACCCTAAAGTTTTGGTAGTTTTGGATTTTGTGTTTGGAGTATGTGTAGATCTTTGTTGGGTAGGGCAGAAAACGGAGAACAGTATTTGATGAGCATTAAAGAAGTGTACTGACAATAATAAAAAGAGAGCCCAAATGCTTCAGAGGGAAAATGAATACAAGGCAGTGGTAATGTAATACTCCATTAGAGAGTGTGTGTGTGTATATTGCATTGTTGCACACACACTCATCATGATCATAATATATGCATATATATATATATAGAGAGAGAGAGAGAGAGAGAGAGAGTGGTTGCTTTTGGGCTGCTACTGTTCTGGCGACTTATAAATGTGAATGTAAAGGAGAATGCATGTTTTTCAGTGCCACTGTTGTGAGGGGTTAATGACAGTGCAGAGACTCAGTCGTCCCTCTCAAAGGCACACAGACACAAACAAACTCTATTCATGATGATCATCTTCACGTCTCTTGCATCAGAATCAGAGCCAAGTGGGCGCAGCAGCAGAATTAAGGCAGAACCACCAGCAGCATCTTTCCAAATATGCAGAGACCATTCAAAGCTTTTCCACCTTGAATGCAATTGACTGTGTTGTGAAAAATAACAAAGCTAAAAACAATTTAATAAATAAATAAAAACAAAAGAAAGGAAAAAAAAAAAAAAACCCAGTCACGTACACAAACAAACTCACCATTGATTCAATCATGTGTTGCATGTTTAATTTTATTAAAAATAAAATAAAATATTAGGTTTATTAAGTCTTGTGTATAAAAAAAGTTTTGTTTAATTTATTTGAGATAAACAACTTTATTTTAAATAAGTTAATAACATTATATTTAAAAAATAATATAATTTTAATATAAATATTAACTTTATTAATATAAATTAAATAAAATAATTTATCCATGAGATAACAAATAAATTTTATGAAAATTAATTTTATTATAGTGTATGCATACGACCATCTAGATTAAAAAAATTGGAAATAGAATTTTACTGTATTTTATAATAGTCTTATCCAATTCAAATAAAACTATCAATAAAAAAATATTTGTGATTTTAAAAATATATATTATTAATATACTTTTTTCAATCAAAATGACCTCATTATCCAGAGAGAAAAAAATTACACCCAAGCAGTCTTGCGTATGGTTGATTTGCAAGATGCCATGTTACTATTATACTATTTTATTGCTAGAACCAACACAAAAAGTTGTAGAAAAGCCAAAGTCAAGAGCAGCTTAAAGGGTAGTATTTCTTGAGTTTCTTCAGCTATTATAGGCTCTTTTTCTTGCTTACTCCTTGGACCACGTGCTTCTTCTTCTCTCTGGAATATGTAATTGCTTGCTAGCCTCAGCAATATCAGTCTCCACTATTACCTGCTGGTGCACGAAATTGCTGTACAATTATTATGAAAGTGGAAGGTTGCAGTGTCTTACTGGCCGAGGGGACCTATTGTATGTTGGTTGGCTCCTTCACATTAAGTTTAGAGTGATGAGTGGGTTGATGAGTCCGATTTCTTAACCCTTTTCTTTTGTGTATCATAACATTAATAATCCTCATTGTTCAGGTACGAATAAATAAGGAAATGAAAAAATATATAAACAAGATAGGGTAAAATGGCAAATATTTAGCATGCTAGCTAGTTTGAGCAACTTAATTAATGAGCTTGTTTTTGTATTCTAATTTCGTAGAACAATGTTATTAGAAAGGAAAAAGTATTTGATAAGTTATTGTTTTACCGGTTGAGAGGATATTTTGAAAAAAGATAACATTATGTTAAATGTTAAAATTTAAAACTTTTATGTTTTACTTTAATAAGAAATTTTTTTAGTAAACACTCAACAAATTTAGAGAAAAAGAGGTAATAAATGTGATAGGAAAAGAAAGATGGAGAGAAATAAAGGACATTGACATTAATAAAATATTTTTAAATCTAAGTTGTGTTAATAATTATACAACTTTTACATATATTCTTTTTCTAAAAATGAAAAAATAGGTTCTTTGTTAAAAAATTAATTACTTTAGATGTGTTACAGCGAAACGCTATAATAAGAAATTTTAAGATACTAATTAAGGAATAAAAAACGAAATCTTTATTAGAAATTATTTAATATTATTAATGTATTACTTGTTATAAAAATTTATTAAATAATTTTTTAATTAATTTTTAATCGGTGCCTTTAAAATATTATTTTATGAAGACTTAAATTATTACGAGAAAAAAGAATAGTAAAATAAAATTAATGAATCCTAAACAAATAATAATAAGTCTAGTTATAATTTGTGTGTATTTCTCTCTCATAACATGTTACTAACCTAAAAAAAATTAAAAGATATTATAAATTACTTTAGCATTAGCATTAGCATTGCTTAACATTTCGGTTAATTTAACATTGTAGACTCCTAGGTTCTGTGGTCTCAATGCAATCATGCATATTTCCAAAATAACTAAACATTATATATATGGTATGTTAGAGGTCCTTCTATGTATACAATACAAACCATAAAAGAAAGGAAAGAAAACAAAACCTACTGAAGCAAGATTCAGGGCTATATGTACAAACCCAGCACATAGATCTCCTTTTGGTTTTTTGTTTTTCAACTTATCAATCATTGCTTTGTAATTACAATGAACATCAAATTCTTAAACGAGAAGCTTTTTGAGAAATTGATAATACAAAAGTGGCATGTTTCAGAAAAATTTGTTTTGTTTTGACAAGTCTTGATATCATTGAGCTTAGCGGATAAAGATGTAGTCAAGAAGAAGAACAAAGAGCATTTTATAGGGACCTCACCAAAGATATAATAGAAGGGAAAAGAGGGTAAAAAAAAATAAGTAAAGAAGGAAAAAGACCCTTCTCCATAGATAAAGCTTTAATGCACCAATCTTGTCCTGGCATCACATTGACAAAAGCCCGGAAAACAAGGATACCCTATTAGATTTGGAGCTCAACCCTTCACACATAGTCCTAATTGGTAAATGGGAACTAGCCGCAAATCATGTTTAACCTCTTTGCTATAGCTTCTACACACATAACAAATACCTATCTTGTGGGTTCATGAAGATGGGTAAGTTAAGGAACTAATTGTTAATTGTTTGAAAAGACTTAATGCAGATAGGAAGAGAGTTAAATAATCCTTTAATATTCTCCTACATATGAACGGTAAGTGTTATGATTAATGTTAAATATTATTATGACCCTTGACTTCTATGCAAAAGATACAGAATGTTTAAGAGGAGAATTATTAAATTTAAAGGATTGGAAGAAGGACAAAACCATTAGATAGGATTGGATATTTGGATCATAGACATGTGGTTATCGTGTTTAGTTATATGTCTTTTTTGAAAAACCAAACCTTCAGATTAAAGATCCTACATAACAATTAAGGTTGTTTTCCGTGTCTAGATCTGATTTCCCGTCAATAGTATGAGACCAACACAAATTAATGGATTAACATTAAATTAATGATTAATTAAAAACATTTATCAATGATTCAGTACAACCGATAGGTTGAAAATTGTTCAAAATCAAAGCAAACTCAAAGTGTTTTAACACTGGAAAGTTTTAAAATTATCAGCTAAATTATCATATTATAAGAAACTTAGTATTATAAGGAATATCAAAGTTACTTTTAAAATTAGACATTGTTTGGACATGGTTTTGCGAGAGCTTTAAAGATTGGTTTTGGGTAATTTGTTCTTATAATTGACTAACTTAATTTATGTGTTCTAAGTGGAAGAATTTTAATCAGATAAGTCTCATATAGATTGTTAGAATTAATCCTCTTAATTGTTTGAAAATATGATCAATCTAAAAAAGATAGTTTCATTGAACATTTCGCTTTTCCTTCACTCAACTTGAAAATGATTTGAAGGGAAGAAGTTCATTCCCCTTCTTTATATATTATTATGAACCTCACAAATAAATGAGGATTTAGTACTACATGTAATAGTCCACTCTCTTGGCCATCTTTCCACTCCATTGAAAAAGCCTCAGCTGAATGCTAGAGTTGTGGCTTTTAGTGGGAAAAGTTAAAAAGGAAAAAGTGTTATATCTCAATCAGTTTAGCCGGTAAGTGTAAGATCAAGTGGGCCTTCAGTTATTTCACTTTAAGGAGAAAAAGAGAGAGCAGAAGAAAATGAAAACCAATCAAATTCAGTTAACCAACAACATACACTGAAATGGAAAAAATTTCAATGGTTGGTAATCAGATAAGTCTTCAAAATGGTTGGCTTAATGAGGTAAAGGTTCAAGTTCTGTTCACTTGGAATCATTAGAGATCTTTTTTTTTTTGGCACCAGCAATATCTTCTAATTGACACCCAAAAAGTATTTATTTATAAAGTATAGAGATCATTTAAGTAAATTTTGTCTCTTTAAATATATATCTAAATAATTTTAATTAAACATAATTGAGAAACTCAGCCATTTATAAATTGTGTAGAATTTTCTTGGGGTACTTAAAATTGAGAATATCTATACAATTTTGATGTCTGAATCTAATGGACAGATATGTATCATTGTATTTTGTATAAAACAAATGAGGCCCAAATTGGTAATGATCCAAGTCAATAATTAACCAGAAACACCCACATTCATGGGCCCATAATTTTGAAGGAAGCTGCATATGATTCCATGATCAAAGTCATCATTGTAACTGGACCTACTTCATTCAAGTGGTGTCGTACTGTTCTGTATTTGAACGAGGCCTAACATTTTTTCAAATTC